GCGGATCTCTGTGAGTTCGAGGCCAGCCTGGGCTACAAAGTGAGTTCCAGGAAAGGCGCAAAGCTACACAGAGAAACCCTGTCTCGAAAAACCTAAAAAAAAAAAAAAAAAAAAAAAAAAAGACACACGCTTGCAGTTATTCTGTTTCATACAACTCAGAAAATTACTACATGATAATCGGATAACCATCACTTGGAGGGACCAGGAAATGTGATGACAGCAAACAAGGAAATGCGGTGACAAACAGGGAAATGCGATGACAAACAAGGAAATGTGATAACAAAGAAGACACACTCACCCTCCCTGTTAGGAAGTTCATGTTACCTGAAGAGTCAGCAGACATTCACTGTGTCAGAGCTTTGTTGTTGTTGTTGTTGTTGTTGTTGTTGTTATTGTTGTTTTGGTGTGTGTATGTGTGAGGAGGGTGGGTGTCGTGTTGAGACAAGGTCTTATTGTGCAGCCTGGCTGGCCTGGAACAGGCAGTGATCTTCCTTCCTCTGCCTGCTGAGTTCTAGAATGATAGCCGCATGCCACACACTTGGCGGACAAGATGTTTAAAAATACATTGTGATGGGCAGTGGTGGTGCGCACCTTTAATCCCCACACTCGGGAGGCAGAGCAGGAAGAGTTCTGTGGGTTCAAGGCCAGCCTGGTCTACAAAGTGAGTTCCAGGACAACCAGAGCTCTGTAGAGAGACCTTGTCTCAAAAACAAAACAGAGCAAACAAACAAAAAAACCCACATTGCTCTGTCTGATGCAGGCTTGAAGAAATCAAATATAAGCTGTGGTGAACACAAATGCCAGAAAAGGATTACCTTAGCAACATGCAAGGGAAGGACAGCAGATGGGCCTCTTCTTGTCTCAAGCTGACAACCAAGATTGTGTTAATCCTACCCAACAAGACCTAAAGAGCATCACTTAAATGCTTTGGTCAAATTAAGAGAGCTTTATCTTCTGCCAGACAGGGCTAGCTCCCTAAAGCAGAGTTTGGAAAAAAAAATAGCATCGAATATAGGAAAACGTGGGGCTGATGTAGTCCAAAAAAACTGCAAGGCTAGGGGATTCCCAGGGACTTTTGGTTCCGTAGGAGCTTGGCGGAACATCTCAAACATTATTTGTCAGAACATCTTATTGTGTCAGGGTGGAGGTTGTGGTGTAAGGTGTGGAGCATGTAAAATTCCAGAAAATGGGTCAAGACCTGGTCAAATCCAAGTTTTACAGAAAACAGGAATGAACTTATTTTGACCTTGCAACATGATGGCTTTTCATCCTAAAATGGAGTCAGGCTGGTCCATCAATTAACCATCACAGGCCCTAATCCATTATGGCTGGTGTACCTATCAAAGACATAGAGACAGACATGCACACAACCAGAGCTATGCAGAGATCAGAGCCTCACTGCTCCAAGACCAAGGGAGTCACCACGAGCCAGAGAGAGCAGAGCTTCACCATCTTCTGAGCTGTCGGACAGGAAGGTGCAGCCCTCCTCTTGATCTTGGACTTCTGGTCTGCCGAACCATGGGAGAATATATCTTTAAAAAAAAATATTTGTGTACTTTGTCACAGTATCCTAGCAAATGAAAACAAACAAATTTAAATGTCCCAAATAATTTGATAGACTCTTTGACATGCATCAAAAAACAACCAAAAAAACCTCCAAAACAAAACCCAAAAACAACAACAAAAAACCCAGACTTTCTATTTAATTGTACCATTGAGATTCAGTCGGATCAAGAATGGCAATGAACTCAGAGAGTGGAAGGCAATGTTGCCACTCGATCATCTTTTTGTTTGTTGAGTAAATAGTACCAGAGAAAGCATCAACTGCCTAAGAGAACAAACTGGCAGCTCTCACTTGGTTTCCAAACGCTGTTTACATACCCTTTAGGTGCTGATTAGAACTGGTTACTTGCCGGGTGGTGGTGGCACACGCCTTTAATCCCAGCACTCGGGAAACCAAAAAAAAAAAAAAAAAAAAAAACTAGAACTGGTTACTTACTTCCTGAGGGAACCTCCCCTCCACCCTCCACCCTCATCGGCCCACCTCCACCCTCCTCATCTTCCCATCCCTCACCCCGTTCCAGGTGCTGTCTGTGTGGAAACAGTCAAGCTGTGTGTCTTCTGCTTAATCTAGAGTTCTGACTTCATACTTAGACCACTTGACTGGTTATTAGACCAGGGAGTGTGTGTGTGTGTGTGTGTGTGTGTGTGTGTGTGTGTGTGTGTGGCCAGAAGAGGATGTCAACTTTCCTATTCTATCACTCTCACCTTAGTCCCTTGAGACAGGGTCTCTCACTGAACCTAAAGATCCGGGATCTGCCTGTCTGTCTGTCTCCAGGGGTTACAGGCACATGTGGCCATGCCTGACTTGTAGCTGGTGCTGAGGATTTGAACTCACAGCACCATGCTTGCTCAGCAAGTGCTCCAATTCACTGAGCATCTCCCCAGCTCTACTCGGGAGTTTCTGCCTCTCTCATGGCACTTTGAGGCTCAGAGGGCTGACTCTCATGGGATTGTGAAAACAGTCTCTGTCCAGCCAGTATCACGTGGAAGGAGGTGCTAGAAGAAGATGGGAGAGAGCCAGAGGAGGAGAGTGGAGAAGTAGCATTCAGCCTCTCTGGCAGATGGTCGTGGGCTGTCGCATTCTCCCAAGAAGGCCACAACTCCTGTCAGACTAGCTGCTGGCAGCTACTCCCCTCCCTGGGTTCTGGGGCTTGCTCCCTCCCCTGACCTGTCCGGTGCTCATGCTGTTAGTCATGCATGACTTAATGCAAGGCAGCTATTCTGAGGAATACAGCTTGGGCAGTTTCCTCATTACGCATTGTCCTAGGCTACATTTACACACTCTGATCAGGCGAGCTTGGCACTCCCCCATGCCCCTGTTGCAGTCAGGAGGAACCCTGAACCCAGTAGCTGGGAGGCTCCTGCCAGCGTCACACAGCATTCTGTTTGAGAGGGAACTCATTTAAAAGAGCACATTTGAAAACGAGAAAAGGTATGGAACAGTAGATACACAACCAGTAACAATGACCCTTGACTATTCATACATCCCCAAGTACGGCACAGTAAATAGATAAGGCAGCAACAAAGTTGTCTGTTATGATCGTTGAGTGCTATGTACTGCGTATAATTTTATACGACTGTCAGTAGGCAGCTTTGTGTGAACAGTGCCGCTACAACATGTAGCAATAGCGGGTCTGTTTATGCAGTATCACCACCACACGTGAGTTATGTGTTGTGTTAGGACACTATCCTAGACACTAGATGCTAGGAGCTTCTCAGCTCTGTTAGTCTTCGGAACCCACAGCGGTTTATGTGGTCCACCACGACCAAATGTCATGTGCTGCGTGACTATATCTAGCAGCCCTGCAGTATCCCTTGTCCTTAACCCCAACATGCCTTTGTGAACAGCTGAAGGTCACGGTTAAGCTCTCCTAAGAGGACACAGTGTGAATCGTGGCTGCCACACCTACACCTGTGAACTCCATACCACGCATATCCAAAGACGGCTTAAGAACTTCCGGTGTCTTTGCTCATGTAATCCTAATAACACCACTATGATGTAAGTGGAATTACAACGCCCATTTCTGAGATGAAAAAACAGAGGCTACGGGGTTAACTATGGAAAAAATTCAGATGGCTGAGCTGTCATGCACACCCAGGTCTATCTCAGGTCAGTGTTAGCACCGGCTCTCACCACTTTGGGGCCTGCTTAGCTTTCCTCAGACCAAGTGCTTTGCCATTGTGTCCCATCAGGGTGATATTTAAAGCTCCTGCATGTCCCAGGCAGCAGCTGACAGACAGGCTGAGGATCTACCATCAGCTGTGACACAGGCCACAGTACAGTTGGATTAAACACTTGCCCTGAGATGTGGAAAGAGGTATTCAACTAGGGGTGACCCAAATGCACCTTTTGTAAACACAGGAAGTGGATTCTTTAAATAATGACTGTGATTGGGTGGAGAGAGAAGAAAGCCCAAGACATCCGGAGAGAGGCCGGACGGCTAAGAGCTGTAATTCCAGGGGCAGCCGCACGAGCACTTCTTAGTAATTTTCAGTGCCCTGGATGGTCCCAGGAACATGCTGTTGGCCAGGCCATCATTCTTCCTTTGGGGTTTCAGAAGTAAGTCATCAGTTTGGGCTGTCAAGGGCCTTGTGCACAGGATTCCTTATGCAATCGAGGGTTGAAGGTTGGGGCGCTGGCTGGGTGGGGTAAAGCCCTTACCTCTGTGCTGGCTCCCCAGAGCTGTGATCTGAGTATGGCATTGGCCCCTTAATCCCTATTCAGGGAAGGCAGAGACAGAGACTCCCTGGAGCCGTGGGCTGGCCAGACCAGCTCCAGGTTCCAGGACATGTGAGAGGTGACAGTAACTGAGGAGGGCATCCCAGGTTGGCCGTGCACCCGTGTCTGCACAGACATGTGCACTCACACATTTGTGAGCACACACGCACTCGCACACATGCACACACAAACAAAAGGCAATCTGGTGGTTCACCTCCCATCCTTATACTGAAATTCTTAAAGCATCTGTATTTGCTTGGGGGAGTCCAACAATAGTATATATAGTTTCCTTTTCTTCCTCCCTTGATTCTTCTTTATGTCTCCAGGCAGTTAAAACCTTCATATCCTCCGTGCTGTCTCGGGTAATGGAGCGGCAAAGCTGGCATCTCTGGAGGAGCCTTGGCCAACAGGGCAGGAAACACCACACTCGACAGCAGATAAAATGCGAAGCGCAACTCCAAGCCTACGTCCAGCCCTTGGGTCTGTGGTGCAGGATTATAGGAGCCGCACACCCCTGCTACCCAAGGCTAACACATTAAAACAAAGCCTGCAGTTCTTTCTGAAACTATGGCAAAAGCTGCTCTCACAAGCAGTGGTGCTGGAGGGCCAAGGCCCCACTCTGTGCCCAAAATACAGACCTGCCGCTGAGGTGTGTGAATGCTCCCTGCTGCTCACGTTGACAGCCATGCCAGTGATCTTTTTTTTTTTTGGTTTTTCGAGACAGGGTTTCTCTGTGTAGCTTTGCGCCTTTCCTGGATCTCGCTCTGTAGACCAGGCTGGCCTCGAACTCACAGAGATCCGCCTGCCTCTGCCTCCTGAGTGCTGGGATTAAAGGCGTGCGCCACCACCGCCCGGCCATGCCAGTGATCGTAAGTCTTACAGGGCATTCCTACACCTAGAGAGCTGCTCTTCCTCAATGACATTAAACTCTGAGAATATAAATAATAATTATATGGAAAGAATAGATCGCAGAATCAACGTAAAAGACCTGTTTTAATAGAGGAATGCTGGCTCAGAAGACACTCTCCCAAGGTGGTACACCTTGGCTCCCTGAGTACTTTTAGCTTGAGGACACTGGAAAGCCTTCTGAAGTGTCGTCCTGCCCCTTAGTCCTCCCCAAAGGGAGTCAGAAAGCAGAATTCCTCTGTCCCATGCTGAGTCATAGAAACTAGAACCTTCTTCTTCTCCTCCTTCTCCTCCTGCTCTCTCTCTCTGTTATTAATAGTCTGCTTTTCTTTTTAAAATTTATTTTATGTATGTGAGTGGTATGTGTACCACGTGCCCACAGAAGTCAGAGGACCATGTTGGCTTCCCTGGAACTGGAGTTACAGTGTTGTGAGCCACCATGTGGGTGCTGGGAATTGAACTCAGGTCCCCTGCAAGAGCAGCCAGTGCTTTTAACCACTGATCCATCTCTCTGGCCCTCCTTTTTTTTTAAGCAAGGCACAAGCTGAAGAATGTGGCTACCCTCCCCCTCCCCTTCCTGTCTGAGCAAGAAGAAATTCTCTGGCCTTCCTTATCTGATAAGCCATTCCAGAAGTATCCTGCCCTACATCTGGGAGGAAGGAATGCGACACAGAAAGGTAAGGAAGAATCTTGACACACAGACCTGGCTAGGTTCCCGCTCAACCTGTCACACTAGCTCACCCCTGTCTAATTACAGTTTGGAACAGCTGTCCATTCTTCAGTGAAAACGAACAATCTTCCCTAGATCTTTGTTTTTCATTCTGAGGACTCCCGTGTCATGTAAAATATTGATTAAATAGATCTGTTATGCTTTTCTCTCTTTCATTTATTGTGTCTGTAATAATGCATGAGTCAAAAGGGCAGATAACTCATGGAATTTTAAATTCATTGTTGTTTTTTTTTCATATTTTCCTTGGTATCAAGTGTCTAGGGTAGAGTAATTAGTTATGGTTAATATAGATTGTTAACTTGACAAAATTAGAATCACCTAGTAGACAAATCATGACCATATCTGTGAGGGAGTTTCTAGACTGGGTTATTGTGTTAGGAAGAAATACCTTAAATGTGAGCCTCACCAGTCCAGGAGCTGGAATTCTAGACTGGATAAACAGAAGAGCCCAGCCCAGCATTCCTCTCCCCCTGCAACATTCCTCTCATCCTGTGGATGCCACGTGACCAGATGCTCCGGGTGCCTGCCACTGACTCCCCCGCCCTGGACCGTGAGTCAAAGGGACCCTTCCTTCCATAAACTGATTTATCAGGATTCTGTCACAGCCACGAAGAAGGAACTCATGCAACACTCAATAACCAATCATTGACCAGAATTATTGTGGAATATTAGCACAAAACTGGAAATAAACAGACTACAGTATTCAAAGGATACTGGGAAATTCTTGGGGTGCCATGCCAGTTTTTTTTAAAGCTTCAAATGTCTTTCTATATCATTGCAGAACTAGAGAAATTCCTTCACTCTGGACTTTAATTATTATCATTCTTAAGTGACGGTGTGTTATAAGTTCCATAGATTAAAGTCTCATTGTTCTACATTGTTCTGCGTTCCCGTGACTGAGCCCCAGGCTTAGGACACAGGAATCACTCCATAGATGTGGTTTGTGGGTTTTGTTTTTGTTTTTGTTTTTAATAGCCCCATGGAAGTGCTTTCCAGTCGCCATTTTGTATAAGATTTGCCATTTCCCCTCGGAACACCAGCTGGTTGTGTAGCTGCCTCTTAGGCTAAAATGAAATACAACAAGCTCTCTAACTTTGGTCCAGATTAGCTCTTAACATTTATAAGACAGGAGTAGTCAGTGTGCCAGTGAGGATACCGCCCAGCCCAGCCCTGTGACTGAGGAAGCAAGCTTTCATAGACAATCAATAAACCTCTCTCTCACCAGAAAGAAATTGTCATTATAATATCTTGGGTGCCTCTCACAACTTCTTTCCCTTCTAAGAGGAAAGTGTTTTTAAGTATTTGTTCTTTTGAGAGCTTACAGATGGCAATGACTTCCACGCCTGTTTAATTCTAGTAACACACTGCATGATCCTAACCAAATTCCAAATGGCATCGGCTGACTGGAGTTGGAAAAGAGGATGCTCACAAAAGTGCGTGCCAAAGGCCTGTCAATTACAGTCTGAAATAGGAGGCAAAGCTGTGGATGGAAAAGCCGTCGCAGACACAGGGAGGCTCTGCAGCTAGGCAGACAGCAAGGCTTGCTTGGGTGACACTGAACAGGTCGGCATAGAGAAAACAGCACTTGCCAACGAGGGAAGACAAAACTGACGGGTAAGGCCCCCAACTCCAAATCGAAGGCTTTGTGTTCTGTTTGTGCCTTTCTTTTGTTTTTATTTTTAACTTGTCTTTGGTGGTGTTAGGGATCAAACTTCAGGCTTCCTGTGTGCTGAGTCCGTGTTCTACCATTGGGCTGCATCCCAGTCCCTGCCTGAAGGCCCCCAACTCCATAAAGCAGTGATTGTTATTTCAAATCATGGTAAACCCACGATAGTAGCATTGCCCACCAAGATGTTATTATTCTTTTGGGTGGGCGTCTGTGCCAACTGAGCAGCGCCCTCTCACCTGTTTGTTGCCTGGATGACTATAGAGCTATGAAGCGTTAACAGCACAGGCCTGATGGCCCCTTTATAAGGACTTGCTTGTAGAGCTGACCCTGGGCTGGCCACTATGAACTTGACTTCTGGAACATTTCCAATGTCACCAATTGTGTTAGTTCTTGGTTGCTGATGTAATAAATGACCATGAACTAAGATCAGCACAAACGTATTATCTTACATTACTGGGCATCAAAAATCTAAACTGGGTCAGAAGGACTGAATTTCTTCTTAAGGCTCTAAAGGAAAATCTGTGACTTTGCTTCTATAAACCTGAAGAGGCAGCCTGCATTTCTCGACTCTTGACCCTCTATCTAAAACCAGAAACAGAATTTCATCTCTCCCTCCCTCTCTTTCTCTGTGTATGTTTCTCTCTCTCTCTCTCTCTCTCTCTCTCTCTCTCTCTCTCTCTCTCTCTCTCGCTCTCTCTCTCTCTCTCTTCCTATATAATCTTTCAAAATCTCCAATTTAATCACACAAGCAGCATCCTTTTTGTCCTGGAAGGTACCAGGATTTGGACACTTTCGGGGGTCTAGCATTCTGGCAAGGCTGCTCTGCATACATGATGCGACACTGAACCCTGCTGCTCCAGCTTGCCCACCCTGGGCTAACACTGCGATCGACGTACAGTGGCCTGGAATATCAGTAGCTGCAACTGGTCGTGTGAGCCTGTGCTTTCTGCTTCTGTGACCAGGCCTCTGTGACAGGCCTGAACTGGAGTCCCTGGTAAGAGCCCCAGACAGAAACTCTGGCATGTGTCCTTGAGTGTCACTGTTGGAGAAACTCTCCGGCTGCCCTGGAGGGAAACTCAGCAGGCCTGCATTCCAGACTCCTCCTTCTCTGCTTGACTTCTCCTTTTCCCTCGGTGACCCTGTAGGGTAAAAGAGCCAGCCAAAGAAACACCCGGATCAGAGCCAGAGCCAAGGAAACACACCCTGACCCTGAGACCAGAGCCAGTTCACTGACCCTGAAACCAGAGCCAAAAGGTTTAAAAGGGCCAGTGAAAGAAACACACCCTGGCCCTGAAACCAGAGCCAAAGAAACACACTCTGCCCCTGACCAACTCACCACAAAAAACAACCAATTCCTGAGCAGGAAAACCAACCAATCCCCGAGCACAAAATCCAGCTAATCTCGGAGTTTATCCAAACTCTGGGATTGAAACCCGACCAATTCCCAACCTGAAAATCTTCACCCTGGAAAAATTCTGCCCCTAAGAAGCCCTATATAATAAGCCCTGTACCTGTTTAGTTGGGAACTGCCTTTTTCCACCCTGGCAGAGGCAGCCACCCTCCTGGATTCTTCCCTCCAAATAAATCTCTTTGGGTGAGACCTTTTTTCGCCAGAGGGGAGCGGAGCAGAGAAATAACAACATGAACCAGAGTGGAGAAGAGCAGAGCAGAACTGTTACACTTTCTCTGAGGAAACCCTCCCCTGCTGGAGCAGAGCTGTTATATTGTGGAAACCTTTCCCTGGAGCAGGGCTATAAACTGCTACGCTTATGGTGACTCTGTGGTATTCCTTGACTCCGGACCACCAGGATCCCTTTCCATCCGAGCTGCAGTGCTTACAGACCCCCCACTCCTCCTCTCCTTATACTAAGCCATGGCCATGAGTGTAGTTCCTGAGACCTGATAATCTTTCTAGTGTGTCACCAGAGGTGTATGGCCAGGTCTCCCTCCTCTAGCTAACCCCAAACAAGGCAGCTCAGAGATTGATCTCCATGGGCAAGAAGGCACCTCTGCATGTGGTCCCTCCCTCTCCACAGGTAATCTAGTATCACTTTCTCAGGGAACAATCCTGAAACAGTGGGGACTACCAGGCCTCTGGAAGTTTAGATCTAAATGGGCATCCTGTCAATCCAGTGCATTCTGTTGGCCAAAGCAAGATGCAAGACTCACCCACATTTCCTGGATGTAGAAGTGAAACTCTTGATGGGAGATCTCAAGAATTTTCACTGCAATGGGCAAGGACAGAGCAAGGCTATGAATTGGGATTATGGATGCATTCAGCTGGGCTAAGTGCTTGAGCACCATTCAAAAGTAATGGGGAATGAGAATTATTGTTGTACAATGCTTAACAAAAACATTCAAAATGGGCAGGTTTGTGGAACAGGAAATCTCAGAGAGAAAGCAGTTGGAAAGCCATAGGCCAATGCTTGGGAATGTAATGGAATTAGGGAGTGATCTACCAGCAAGAAAACCCAGTTGTCTGTTTGGAACCTGGTAAAAATTATGTCAGTCAAGAACATTTTGGGTAATCTATGTTTTACACTCATGAGTAAGCTACACTCATTCATACAAATAGCTAATGGGTGTGCATCACAAGGGTGAAGCTAATAAACTCCCTCCAAGAGTTTACCTTCCAGGTGGGTATTTCTAAGAAGGGAACAGTTCAGTGGAGCCCTGAAGAACTAGGAGTCATCTCTACTGAGAAGAAGGGGGTCCAGGCAAAAGCAATGGCATGCACCAGGCCTTGGGGCTGGTAATGATAAGGGTCTCTGAAGTGGTCAGAAGTCAGGAGGCTGCAGTGGAGAGAGCAGGGGGCAGACAGCCACGCAAGGGGCAGAGCTTCCCTATCACAATAAGGAGTCTAGCTCTTTCCCTAAATGTACCAAGAAATGGAGATGGACAAATCTCTCCAGCCCTCCTGTTCCCAAATAACCAGTCAGAAGCTTAAGATTAATTACAAACTGTTTGATCTGTGGCTTAGGCTTATTGCTAGCTAGCTCTGATATCTTAAATTAATCAATTTCTATTCATCTATGTTTTGCCACATGGCTGTGGCATTATCAGTCTGCTGGCATCTTATTCCTTGGGTGGCAGGCTGGTGTCTCTCCGACTCTACCTCCCCCCACCCCTGTATCTTTGCTTAGATTCCCTGCCTGGCTATAACCTGCCTTGCCATATGACAAAGCAGCTTTATTTATCAACCAATGAGAGCAACTCATATTCACAGTGCACAGAATCCCACAGCATAGCAAACACTGAAATGGTGTTTCAAAATGACAACCTTAGAGCTGCTGATGGACAAGAGTGGAAGTGGGGACAGGAGTTAGAGCCACGGGTCAGTGTGGTGCACAGACTGGTGGCATCATGCTCACTTGGGAGCTGTAGAAAATGCAGGGCTGTGGCCCTCTCAAACCTAGATTAAGAATCTGCACTGCAATGAGGCCCTTGGGAGACTCATCCCATGTTTAAGATGCACTCAAATGGGGAGGCCATGGCAGTTTGACCCTAAGCAGCTACCATGAAGACAGTCATGGATATCTGGGTTTGGGCTGGAGCTATAAGCTTGTCTAAGAAGAACGGTGCTCACCACGCAGAGATGACATTGGGGATGCAGGCTGAAACACTAGTGTCTGGTGGCAGAGATGCTACTTCAAGGCAGAAATCCAGAACCCTGGAGAGCTCCCAGGATCCAAGATTGAAGATTCAAGTTAAGGGCACCATTCAGTCCCCAGAACTTTACCGACATCCTTACCAGGGTGGTGGGCAGTGACTCATGTTCTATGATTCTGGGGCATCTTCTTCATTACCCAAAGTGCTGTCTGTTCCAAATGATGAAAAAAATTTGGTGTCTGATCAAAGAGAAATGGCTCAGCAGTTAAGAGCACTGACTGCTCTTCCAGAGGACCTGGGTTCAATTCCCAGAACCCACATGGCAGCTCACAACTGTCTAATTCCAGTTCCAAGGGCTCCAACAGCCCCACACAGACACACATGCAGGAGAGACACAAATACACATAAAATAAAAATAAATCTTAAAAAATATAAATAAATGAAGCTGCGAGTAAAATCATTCCTAGGGAAGGCCAGCAGGCCTGAAGGGGGCAGAGAAGGAGGCACCCTTCTTGATACTATTTGCTCTCAAGGACCTTCTTGCTCTGGGAACAGGAGCTTAACTTTGTCCTAGATTCAGGGATTCAATTCCAAAATAGAAACTGCCAGAACATTAACGATAGCGATAATTCTGAAAATGGAAAATCAGCAGAACTTGGTGAAGGACAGAGAATGGATGTAGTGGATGTAGAGGCTGTAGGGCCAGAACTCCTCAGTGCTACCAAAGTCCCCCACTGCTCTCCTCTCTCACCTAGAGTTCCGTGTAGCAAACAGATATTCCGGGAAGGTTCCACAGACCCCATGAGAGACCAATGTGTCATTCCCACTGAGATGGTGGGAAGACAGGCAGGTGGAGTGAGGGTGTAGAACAACTGGAGCTTCACACACTGCTGGTGGGAATGCAAGATGAAATGGTTAGGAACAATGGGGCCTGACAGTTTCTTACGGAGTTAACCATTTCCTGCCACATGAGTCAGCAATGCTAGGTAAAACATGCCTTCATAAATTTTTACATAAATCCTTATAGCAACCCTACTTATGATAGATGAAAAATAAAATAAAGAAAAAAAACCTGAATGTCTCCTTCAGCCACAGAAATAAGTTGATATATTTTTGTGCAATGGGAAATTACTCAGCAATACAAAAATAAAATAATGCACTATGGATTTATGCAGTAACAAAGACAAAAACAAGAACTCAGATACAGAACCTGGAGAGATGGGCTTAACTGTTCAGAATGTTTACTGTTCAGGTCCCAGAACACACATGAAGCATATCACAAACACCTATAACTCCAGCTCCAAGGGATCCAATGACCTCCTTCTGACAGCCATAG